TGCAATCGGAGGGCTGAGAATTTGAGTGCCCAGAGATGGAGCACATAACGGAGAAACTCCATAGTAAGTCACCAGAGTGACGAGGGAGTCAAGGAGGCGGTGAGAAGAGGTCACGGTGGTGTTGGTGAGCAGGTCAGCTGGGTAGGGGGAAGGCACAGAGCTCGGGGACGAGCTTCCTGAGCAACCAGACGGCCGTGCTGGGAGGGATGAGAGTGATGAAGGTCGTAGCCGGGTACGAGCATGCGTGCGCTCTGCTGATGAACGAGAGCGTCGTGTGCTGGGGGAGCAACACGTACGGGGAGCTGGGGATAGAGCAGGCAGTGGCTAGCCATGCTCCGAGCATGGCGCTTGTAGGGGACAAGCAGTATGCGACGTGCACGACGAGCGAGTACTGCCTTCTTCCGAAGTGAGCGGGAGGGGGGAGTGAGGAGGGGGGAGCTGGGGGAGAAGAGAGGAGGAGAAGGAGGTCTGATGTGCGGGTGTGTCAGGCTTGGGAACGGCACGTACTCGGTGAGCGGAGACTCGGTACTGGCGGGAACGACCGTGATGGCAAGGGAGGAGGGGGAGGCAGAGACGGAGAGGCTGACGGGGGAGAGCAGGCGAGCTGTCTGTGGAACTTCGTCTTCCAAGGGAACCTGTCGTCGCCGTACGTGCACATGGCGTGGTGAGGGAGGAGGAGAGGCGGAGGGAGGGAAGTGACGATGGCGCGTGCGGGAGAAGCATCAACAAGGGGGTAGGACACAACGCGACGTGGGACGCGGTACCTCCTGCGGTACGAGAGGACGAGGGGGCTGGAGAGGGGAGGAGAAGGGAGGGGAAGACAAGATGATGAGGAGGAGGGGGGAGGGAAGGAGGCGAGAAGATCAGGAAGGAGGGAGTGGGAGGGGGCGATGAGAGCAGATGAGGATGCGGGGTGGGGATGAAGTAGGGATTTTGAGGCGTAGAAGGTTGAGGAAGGAAAAGGAGGAGGATGGGGGATATGAGAAATCAGGAGGAGAGGGGAGGACGGGGAGTTGGAAGAGGGGGCAGGAGATGAGAGCAGGTTGCAGTGTATCGAGCACAAGAGGACCGTCGCGCAGGAGTGCTCGAGCGCCATCGGAGCGATGCAGGTTATCAAGGACAAAGAGAGGGGGAAGGGGTTGAGAGGGAGAGAGAGGGAATGATGGAAGGAAGGACGAGGACGAGGACGAGGACGAGGACGAGGACGAGGACGAGGAGGAGGAAGCTTCGAATTGACGATGCTGATCAAGTCGGACGGGACCTGCCTGCTGTACTTGAACCCCAGCTGCTCCACTTGGAGGTCATACACCAGCAAGGACAAGACTAGCAGACAAGTACGCGAGGGAGGCAGGAGGCTGAA